GTGGGATGTGGCGCGTGGGCCTGCGTGCTAGTTCCCGCTAAGCGAGCACCTGTGGCGCAGGCGGGTATCCTGTATTGATGCCTTGGGTGTCCAAAAGCGAGGGTCGATGCGACGGTCACGTGGCTCTCTTGCCTTTCAGACGATGGGATGGCGACTGACTTCTTGCAACCGTTTTTGCCCGGCGGCCTTATCCAGACGACCTCCTCGTGGTACTCTCGGAGGTGGTAACAGTTCGCACTGGCTGCATATTTCACTCCTTTTGTCTGTATCCCATGTCTTGCCGGAGATCTTGAAGAGTGGCACTTTCCGGCTTGGAACTCTATCGAATCTTTAAAGTGGCTCCGCAACGAAGTCATGAAGTTACCCCGTCATACTAACCACCGACGGTGAAGCCCTCTTTGTTCGCATCCTTGTCTGGGTTTTTTGACACTACCTCTGATCAAACCCATTTCTCTCTCATCTGAAAATTCATCATGAGTGTACGGAACCTCATCCTTGACCCTCGCCGATGCCGTTACTGATAATCATGCCAGTTTCTCGATTCTGTTCTCTCGTCCATCGAGACGGGCAAACCGTCCCCAATCCCCCAAGTCTCCTCCACCGTATCGCCACCTGTCACTTCCTCCACTGTGAGAACCGAAGTACGCAAGACCAGTCTTGGACCACGGAATGTTCCCTCAACAACAGAACGGAAACCCCTCTCGCAGGGGATAAAGCGCAAAGCCGACGAGCCGCTGCCCCGTTCGTCAAAATTGGCACCTCCAGCCCCTCTCAGATCAACCGCCACTAAGCCCACAATCCCCGCAGCTGGAAAGGCACGCCCCAGTGCTCCCACAGCAGCCGTGGCGTCCGCCTCCACAAGTCGCTCATCCACGCCTCAAAGATCAGCGCAGGTGTCCTCGAAACCACCCCCCAAAGGCTCCTTTGCAGATCTCATGGCCAAAGCCAAGGCGCTACAAGAAAAGACCCCCACCCAGGTGGGTATGTTCAAGCATCAGGCTGCTGCTAAGGAGAAGCTTAGCAAGGTAGAACGAAAGAAACGAGCGACAGAAGCTCAAACCAAAGAGAAGGAGAGTCGGTCGGCTAAAAAGCCTGGCGCCACTACTACTGCAGCTGGAAGTGCTAAACCTGGCGTTACGAAGCCTGTGAAAAAGCGGGAGCCGGAAGAGCTCTCCTACAAAGGCACTTCGCGACCTACACCCCGTCCTGCACAACCCGAATATCGTGGAACAGCGGGCTTGCCAGCGAAGCGGAATCCCAGTGACCTCAGGGCCCAGTCTCGAAACAAGCGGTCGAGAATGGATGAGTACTTGGGAACCGATGAGGAAGACGAGGGTGACTATGCCGACGACTACGATGACTACGATTCGGGATCTTCCGATATGGAGGCTGGCTACGATGCTATGGAGGAGGAAGAGGCTGCTGCTCTGGCAGCAGCCAGGCGCGAGGATGAGGAGGAATGGAACGCTGAACAGGCAGCCAAGCAGGCTAAAATGGAACGCCTCAAGAAGCTCAATGCGCTGGCTGCGCGCCGATAATGCGGTGGAAGCATACAATGGACGAATAAAGATTTGACTATTATTTGGTCTCCCTACACATAGGCGGACCCGCCCTGTCACTCCATCATTTTCCTATGTGTTTTGTGATTTTATTTTTTCCCTGGAAACGGAGCATCAGCGAGGAATACCCCGAGGGTGCATTACATATGTCGTTGCTGTTTTCTTTCTTTTCTTGCCCTTTTGCTGTCTTTTGAAGTTGTTTCGATGAGCATCAGCGAGCATCAAGGTGTCGATAGATGGAGTGTTGAATCGTCTTCCTTCGAGTCACATATTTTTATCACAACGTTTATATACAATCATGGGGAGCGTCGCTATTGTCTAGTTTGAGCTTCGAGCTTCAGGCCACACTTCAGGACCCGAACTCTGCAATAGAATTGAGCCATTACCAATGCAATCGTCATTGTTGAACAAGAAAATACCGAGTAACAGATTGGCCTTGCATGGACGGACCGGATTTCTTATCATTGCTTCAATCAGCCCCACCTGCAGGCGGTGACATCACTTTTATGCTCCCTCCACCGCCGTCTCTTTAAACCACATCAGCTCACCTTCTAATCGCAAAATACAATACCTGCTTCCAATACATCGAATTGTTGTCAATCATTCCTTAGAAGTCGAGCTCACTCACTGCATTTGGTCACAACAAAGATGGAGTCTGTCCATCATGTATCAGCCTCTTCCAAAGTCCTTCTCAAGAAGGCGCGCAAGATGGTGCCGCCCATGCTGGAGCAATTCCACAAAGGTTCGAATCTGGCAGCCCTTGCATTGCGCTCCGACTCTCGACTTACAAGCAATCTAGGACAGCATGGACGCGTTGCAGTCATTGGAGGCTCTTTAGAGTTCGTTGCCCCCAAACCAAACATTCGCATTGAAACAAACTGAGAGGAATGCTATAGTTACACAGGCGCGCCGTACTTCTCCTCAATGGCATCGGCCAGACTAGGTAAGCATTTCCTCCAAGTGTATTTGGCAGGGATGCCCAAACTGACATGAAGCTGCAGGATGCGATATGGTAGGCAATTGGGAACCCACTTTGTCTGCTGCGTGCATGCGATCTCCGTTCTGACGAATCACAAAAAGAGCCACGTTATTTGTGATAAATCGGCAGCCACCGTAAGTTGACAGATCGTACCCGGCTTTCATAGGAGCGGGGAAGGGGGAATGCTCATAATGTCGCTCGTCTAGGTCATCAAAACCTACTCTCCAAACCTGATGGTCCACCCTATTCTGCCAAGCAGCGCCTCGGTCAAGGACCCCGAGTCCATCGATGCCCCATCCCTCGCTAGCCCGATCATCAACATGCTTTCGCGGCTGCATTGCCTGGTGATCGGACCCGGCCTGGGTCGCGACGGGGTCACCCTCAAGGTGGTGACGGAGGTGATGAAAGAAGCGCGGTCCCGCTCGATTCCCTTTGTCCTCGACGCCGACGGGCTCCTCCTCGTGACCGAGGATCCGGATCTGGTGCGCGGGTACAAAGAGTGCATCCTGACGCCCAACGTGAACGAGTTCAGCCGCCTGGCCAAAGCGCTGGGGATCGACGTGCCGAGTCTCGCGGAAATCAACTCCAAGTCGGACGGCGCGGACCGGACGAGCGAGGAATCTAAGGCCTGTGAGCGGTTGTCCAATGCGCTGGGTGGTGTCACCATCATCCAGAAGGGTCCCCATGATGTGATTTCGAACGGGATCACGACGCTCATCTCCGATATTCAGGGAGGTCTGAAGCGCAGCGGGGGCCAAGGCGATACGTTGACGGGCTCCTTGGGCACGCTCCTCGCCTGGAGAGCCGCCTACCACGACGAGCTCTGGGACTCCGGTGAGAAAGACAACGCCAAGGACGCGCAGACCAAGGAAGACATTCGGGCGGAGCTTGAGTCCGAGGATAAGCGGATGTCGCCTTGCACGACCCTGCTTCTGGCTGCGTTTGCTGGTAGTTCGATTACGCGGGAGTGCTCCCGACGGGCTTTCCTTGCCAAGGGCCGCAGTATGCAGGCCAGCGATTTGACGGATGAGGTCCACGAGAGCTTCCTCAAGCTGATTGGTGAGCCCGAAGCGTCCAAAATGCACCTGTAGAGTATGTCTCTGCTAGGGTCAGCATCCAAGAGGCTGTAATATTAGTCGGCAGCTTGCGGTTGGGGAGCTGTGCTAGGTCATGGCATAATGAAATTCATTCCCAATGGAGTCTTGGCACGTATCCTGTCTATTAATACATGGATTGCTCCCTGGTAGTCAAAGTGACGTCTGCAACAAGCTCTCGTATTTGGGGCAAGGCTGAATGCATATCCCGCCCCAAATCCGGGATATATGCGCGATTGACTTTTTTTCCATCGGCCGAGACACGGGAACACAGAACTCTACTTTGACCAGTCGATGAACGGTGTCTGCTTCTGGCTTACATGCGTTCTTGCTTCAGATGAGAAATGGTTGTACAACACAGGGCTTAGTTCGCATCTAGCATGCCTGACGTGCGTAGCTTCAACCGCAAATCCGAAAATCACAGTAGTCGAATCTAGTTACTACAGTATCCTACCCCAAAACAAGCCAAATGGTCTTCTATCAGAGTACATTTATCCACCGCTTTGCTGTAAAGCAGAGCTATGAAGTCTATTTTCAATAGTTCCCAACGCCGGCTTCAGAATGTGTCCATGAGAGGCAACAATTCAGTCACGGAGACCCTCGACTATGAGCTTGAGTCCGAGTCAGCTTCTTGTGTTCCAGTTTGTCTCCATGAGACAGCCATCATCCGAAAAGTCCTTGATGGAGAACTACCTGGGCATCTACTCGTCACGCGGACAGGCGAAACCCGTAGGCAGTGCCCGGCGAGATCCTAAAAACGAAGGGCCTCTTTATCTCAGCTTGGACATGCATACTTCTGAGCTTAATCAGAGACATGCAGCTTGAAAATACTACATCACCTGATGCGAGCTCCAACTCTTAGCCAACACTCTCTTACAAGAACTCTTATACTGTCTCACATCTACCTAGCCTCAACGAGCACTACCAGCTCAGATGGACAGGGAAGACCCAACCACTTAGGTATAGATCTCGTATTCAGGCCGGCCGGCCGCGTTGCCGAACCATATGCGTATGGATTGGTGGATCACATCTTCTATTTTCACCCACATCCAAGATAGAACCTGTTGTCTCAGAGGAACCGGGTCCTAGGACGTATGTGTTGGAGGGGCTGGAGGGCTGTACTCGTCTTTCAGAGTTTGAGCAGTATCCGGTGCACGACCCTGCCTCCGAGCTATACGAGCCTCACCGGGAATAGTAACACTGAGCCCTATCTTAGGATCCACTTACCGATGTCATGGTTCCCCTCCCCCCGAGACCCGCCATGTCATGCCATGGCTGACCCCATTGCCTTGAATCAATAGTGCAGTGCTTGAGGACTCCATGCCCAGTTTCTGCAACCAGCCAACCTTGAGCTCCGCCACCAAGACAGCCCTATATAAGCATCTATCCTCAAGCCCTGATCAATCGAGGCATTTCCTTCCTCATCAGCATCAGCATCAGGACGAGCTTCACTTGACCCTCTTCAATACCAAAGAACTACTACCTCAATCAAATCACACCAGCTACATCCAAACCAACACACCCACATACCTCAAGCATACTCATACATCCCAACATACATCAGCCATCTCCACCACATCAATAAAGATGTACACCCCAGCCCCACTCCTGCTCCTCCCCCTCCTCGCAACCGCCCTCCTAGCCACCGCCTCCCCGACAGGCACCCAACCCCCCGCGGCCCCCATCTGCGGCACCTGCAACCCGCTCTCCGGCCAGAACAACTGCGACGTGACCACCTCGTGCATCAACACCGGCACGCGCTTCCACTGCGCCTGCCGCGCCGGCTACAAGGCCTCACCCGCCAACGCCGACGTCACCAAGCAGTTCCGGCTGCCCTTCCCCAACTTCCAGTTCCTGGTGTTTGTCCCCGAGTTCACCCAGTGCAATACCCTGTGCGACAACCCGTACGGCGCCAGTCCGCAGCTTTGTGCGGAGGTGCCGGTGCAGAGTTCTTGTCCGGTTTAGGGGGGTCGCTGAGGGGGAGAGATCTTTGGGGGTGTCTTGGTGGGG